CACCTCTAAATATTGTACTTGTGGTTTCAGACGCAGGTTAAACCCCCACTGACTTCAGGCACTCTCAGAGTAACAAGAGCAATATTTAACCTCCTGACAGCCATTCTTCTTGCAGTCCTGTGTCCCTCTGCTGCTCTGCTTGGTTCATGAATAAGATTTTCTTTTCTTTAGAAATTCAGTATATGTTCCCTGCAGACAGCTCTGATCTATGGTCCTGCTCTATACTTGGTGCATAAGCATCTCTGATGTTCCCACAGTCCTGAGAAGTAATTGGAGCTTCAGTAGAGGTAGCACAAGAAATTACAGCTGTTGCTGGTGTTCAGAAATGTGTTTTCTAAAATTGTAAATGGAAATGCCTGCAAAGAAAAGCAAAGCATAGGTTACTGTAAGGAGGTTCCTGGACGGAAGTCCCAGGTAATGCGTTACCACGAGCAAGGATGAGGAGCAGTCACAGGGTTAGGATACCAGTGTATCTCTCTTTGTTACTCTGCTTGTGTTTCTTCTAAAGCTGTGGGTCACTTGGAACGTAGTGTGTGGGAGTGAGCTGTAGCATTTCTTTAAATATGATGGAGGAGGGGGAGAGCTTCAGTTTTAACAGATTTTCATGGTCCAATATGTAACCATGAATCCAAATTTGGATTAAACATTTAGCCATTGAAATGGTTACTTTACAGGAACAACTAAATAAAACACAGCGGAGCATGTGGAATTGGGGGCGGGCACTATTATTGATATGGGAATCCTGAAATCTGCTCTTTGGCCCTCCACCTTCAGAAAAAAATCAGCTCAGATTAGTCTACCTTATTCTAGGAAACTGTTTTCCTCCTTACCTCAGAAGAAAGCAAGCGTTACCTCATGATCACATGCCACACAACATGCCAAGAGAAAAATTCTTCCCAGTCCAAAACATGACTACCAGTTTTTACACATGAGGAAGCGTCACCAGCGTCTCACCGTGACTCACCTCACTTCTGATCTGTTTTGCTGCCTAGGCAGAGCTTGCTACCAAATAACCATAAACTACGTGCCTGTTTTCTCAGGTATCACTTAACGACGCAGCTGGATGAGAGGGTTCTCGTTTAATAACCGTGAGGTACATTGCAATCCATTGTAAAAGGGAGGGGATCTGCCCTTTGCAGAAATGTGCTCCAATAACAGTCATCTGCTGACATCTGGTAACTTGTTAACTGCATTTGACAGATCTGTCTGCACTCATGCAAACATTTCTGAGTAGATAAAGCCATTTAAGAAACTTTTCTGCAGAACATTCTGATATTTGTTGCCTTTCTTTGTGTTTGATAGTAAAACCGACAGCAATAGCAAATTTCAGGTTTCTTGATGTGTGGGATTAAAGCCAAGTTTTCTTGATTTTATATCACGAGAGAAACTAAAAAATGGGACAATAATTGACCTGAACTAAGAAAACTTTCATATGTAAGGGGCAGAGTAAAGAGCAGGATCCTCTTGGCTCTTATTTATTAGAACAAGGATTAAAATAGATCGTCAGAGGATCACCAAGTATCAGAAGAGTACCAGATGTCAGAAAGATGAGAGCTTCAGATTTTCCTACAAATATTCTTTTTTTTTTTTTCATCAAAACATCCCAAGAACAAAGTACCAAGATAGAAATGTAGTCCTTGTGGCTGTTAGTAAATTACAGCAAGGGGGCAGTGCGGCGGGCGTGAGGATTTACAACAGATGCCATGAAGCTCATCTCAGCAGGGACAGATTCTGTGAGAGAAAAGGAGGAAAAATGTGAGTGCTGTTTCCACCTCTGCATGAGGAGAGGTCCTAAAGGCCAAAGAATGGTCCAGCCCTTGTCATCCTTGCACACCACTGGTACTAACTTGGTGCTGATTTTATGGCAGCAACCCCAAAAATAAGAAAGAATTGCTGAGGGAGCCTCTCTTCCAGTCTGGCTGTCAGTGTATCAGGCATAGGAAAGATGCAGGCAGCATCAGGCTTCATATGGGATTTCTCAGCAGGACTCTTCAGATCAGAGAGGCTGCAGTGATTCATCTCTTTGAATATGTTTTCAACTCTTTTTCCTTTTAATGATGCTGAGGAAAGGGGTGTTAAGGCAAAGGTGTATCTGTCACTTCCTACCACTCTGCTCCCTAGCAGCAGGCAGGCTGCTGCTTACAGCATAGGACTGCTGGAAGAAATACTGCAGTGGTTTTGTTGTTTTTCTGAGGAAGGGAAACAAATGCCAACAATGGTAACTGATTGACTCACAGCATAGAAAGTAAAGGAAAAACATTCCAGAAGATTTTCCTCAGGAGCCTGAATCCTTTTAAATCTCACCTTGCTGATTCCAAGTGCCTCTTCTTGCATGGCTGTATCCTGCTTCCCAAAGACCTGGAGTGCCTGGAGACCAGTGTCATCACCCCTCACCAGGAGTGCTTGTAGGGGTGCTGTTAGCTGCAGCATCCCATGGGAAATGTCTATCTGGGGGAGCACAACTTCTAAAGCCTGTTCTGGGTACCCGGCTTCAGTCTCCAGCAGCCACAGAATGGCTGAGGCTGGAGGCACTTTTGGAGATTGTCTAGTGCAGCTCCACCAGGACCAGCTGCCGCTGGCTGCCCAGGACCGGATCCAGTTGGGTTCTGTGTGTCCCCAAGGGTGAAAACCCCACAGCCTCTCCAATCAAGGGGTCAGCCACACTCCATGTAAAAAAGCCGGACATCGTGGCAATGCTTCTAAATGCAAAATAATAAATGTTGGTCTCTTCAGGTTTTCTTTTTGTTCTTTTTTCTTTTCCTGAGAAAGGAAAGAAATGTGATTGTTGTTTTTTTTTCCTAAGGTAGATAATGTTTGCTCAGCAGACTGTCCTCGTGGACACCCTGGGATAATCCCACTAATTTCACCTCTGTAGCAAGGCAGTACCTGTCTGTGTGGCAGAAAAATAGCGGTGTCACCAGAGTTCTAGGTGGTACTGTGGGCCATTATTGACATGATTTATTTAGCACTTAGCAGCCTCAATCAGGCCCTTTGTACTGGGCATCGTCCCAGCAAACTGGAAGGCAGGAAGCCAGTTCCCAAAGAAGGTATTATTTAGCTGTTAAACTGTATGCTACAAAGAAATAGATGGGGAAAAGCAAGGACACTGAAGCATTTGTGCTAATCTCTGAGCTTTAGCATCTTTCCTCCCCTCATCACAGCTATAAATGGGAGAAAACTGAGATCCTGGCTGCACTACCCAAGGACTTCAATGAGTTGAACAGCTGAAACTGTCCTGTAAGCATAAGAAAGAGTCACGTCCATTTTTCAGTTGCAGTGTTTTTTCAGTTAGGGAATTAGCCCAAGAGAAAATGAAGAAAGTGCACAGTTATTTCTTGTCTTGGAAAAATGCCTTTCCCTTAAAAAGACTTATCTTCAAGTCTGCAGACAAGAACAGTAGGGGTTTGCTTCTCTTGAATGTTGCTTCTCAAGTAGAGAAAAAAAGGAAGAAAAATGTTGTTGTCACCAAAGGAGGAAAACACAACATCTGAGTGAACAGGTGTCAGAGTTTTGAGGTGCGTTCTGTATTTTAGGTCAATCTAGAATTTACCCATCCAAATAACTCCACTGAGAAAAACACCAGAAAGGAATTTAGAAGGGTGGAAGAATCAAGCAGATAGATTGGTGAAAATCTTTGGAGGTTTTATAGAAAGGTAAGAAGTTGTTCTGGATGGGCATGCCTGGTTACTCCACATCCTTCTACATGTTTGAGTGACCTGGTCTGGCGGGAGGTGTCCCCACCCACAGAGTGGAAATAGATGGTCTTTAAGATTGCTTCCAGCCCAAGCTATTCTATGATATCCACATGTGCCATCAGCCTTGATTCTCCTTTGTCTCTCTTGGCCAACTGACTGGCATCCATAGGTTGTCTTCGAGGGAGGTGCAGCCTCAGCAGGAGGCAGGAGACTGCAGAGCCATGAAAGACCAAGCCCTGGGGCGATGCTGGAAGCTGATCCTCCAGCATCCAGAGCCTGCAGGAGATTTGTCTTCCAAGGGAGCACTCAAAGACAAAACCTTTGTAATAAGAGACCAGGCTGCAGCACAGTTATTCCCTTGACCCACAATAAAACACATGTAAATTTGTAGTGTAGAGGAGGCATCCACTTTTATGACCTGTTTACATACCACCCTTTTGTTACAGCACTCCTTGACGACAACAGGCAGCTAAAGGTCGAGGCTCTGCAAGCTGTGGTGGAATTAATTAAAACTCAGAGAATCCAACATCTTTGACGTAGGCTGGCCAACAGAGGCCTGCTCCCCACAAAGCAGAAAGCCCCAAATAGCCAGAAATGAAGATTTGTGAAGATTGCCTCAACCAACATGTAGCCCAAAAGCATTTTGTTTCCTCCTGTCTGCATTCCTGCTTCTCTGTCACATGATTCCTGACATCTCCTTTGAGTTTCTCTAATTCTTTACATTTTTACTAAATTTCATGCTGAGAGATTCCAGTGCTTCAGCTGGTTACCTTAAAACAATGTTATTTTTATGTTCCTTTATAATATGTGATGTAAAACAGTAGCCACATAAATATGGGCGCTCTCAAACTTTTGTGGACGTGCCAAACAAAAAGTTGTGTTGGAGTTTGTAGTAGCTGTACAAAATAAACAGCCTCATAAAAAGTTGGCTGCAGTGATATCATCCAAGTGCCTCCAGCATGTTCCAGAAAGACTGAACTTAATCCATGCTGCAGTTAATGCTTTATTTGGAACTTTGGTGTCCCTCTCAGAAATATGTCCATCCCCAGCCCATCTTTACTAAGCAGATGCCAGCTGGGTCTGGGTTCAGCAGTGTTGACAAGGCCAGTATCATGGGGATTCAAACAGAAAGCAACACAAAAATAATCACAAACCAGTGTGGTTCCCAGTGGCAGTTCAAAAACACTTGGATGGGGTCGTGGGGTGGTTGTCTCAGATTTGGAGACGGCACTGATGCATCTTTCAGTAGAACTATACCATAGGAGAATAAAAATGAATGTGATTTTTTGTGTTCTTTCCGAGCAGCTTCAAGAACCAGAAAAAAGAGCTCTCAGGATGCCAGAGCCAGCAAAGTCCACTTCTGCCCCCAAAAAGGGCTCCAAGAAAGCCGTGACAAAGACGCAGAAGAAGGGCGATAAGAAGCGACACAAGAGCAGGAAAGAGAGCTACTCCATCTACGTCTACAAGGTGCTCAAGCAGGTCCACCCCGACACCGGCATCTCCTCCAAGGCCATGGGCATCATGAACTCCTTTGTCAACGACATCTTTGAGCGCATCGCGGGTGAGGCCTCGCGCCTGGCGCACTACAACAAGCGCTCCACCATCACCTCGCGGGAGATCCAGACGGCCGTGCGCCTGCTGCTGCCCGGAGAGCTGGCCAAGCACGCCGTCTCCGAGGGCACCAAGGCCGTCACCAAGTACACCAGCTCCAAGTAGCCCGGCGCTTCTTCTCCGGTGGGCCCATTGAGCACAGGCACAGGTAGGCAGCTATGGTTTGGATGAAGGTCACAGCTATTCTCCATGGCGGTGGACAGACTTGGGATGGGCGTTAGGAGCTGGCTAGTAGAAGATGAGGCAGCGAACCGGATGCTGGCTTCTTTTCATTGTGAATTCAGGATGTGCTACGGGTTCCGCACGCTGCACATCAGGCGACGCTGGTGGAGGAGGCCTCTGCTTTCACATCTTATCTGAAGGGACTGGCTGCTGCATATCCAAGTTCTTCTTTGTGCTTGAAAAACATGCATGTGTGGTGCTGGCCATGATGGCTGGCTGCTCCAGAGATATTGCCTCTGAAGTCTTCCTGTCTGCTTTCATACAGTCGTCCAAGATGGGCACCAAGAAGACTGCACTGCATCCACTCTGTGATAGTCAGGATCCATCCTGTTGTACAGCAAAACAGCCTACGTGTAGAGGTCAAGCTGACATCAGCCACAGCAACCACCAGGCACAGTCCATAGACTAAAATCTGTACTGATCCAGCAGAGATCTTGCTTGGCAATGGTGTACAAGGCCTCTGTTAAAGATGCTGTGATAATGCCATGTGCTGTCCCTCCTTGCTGCTCCTGAGGGAGGAGAAGCGAGCAGGCTGGTGGCACAGGCATGTGTGGCCTTACCCACCAAGATGCCAGAGCCACCAGCTGGCTCTCAGCTTGTGCCAAAGCATCTGGACCAACAAGGGCAATGGTGGAACCCGGTCATTACCTCCTCCAGCTGCTGCTTTGCCAATTCTGAGACCTACTTCAGTGTGCAAGACATTGCTAATGCTGCTTCTTCTTGGAGACTTTTTTCTGCCTGTGTGCTCTCTTCTGCCATGTTCACTGTAAGGATGGACAAGTGGGTGCTGTCCAAGGGGCTGTGGGCAGCTCACCTTGCCCCTGCCTTCCCTGCTTCGCTCATTTGCTGTCAAGCAAAACAAAGTCAGGGCTGGGTGAATAGGTAGGGACTCTTAAAATATCACTGCATCCCACTAGTATTTCACAAATTAAATCATTCTAAGCTACTTCAGATATTCCCCATGACTTCTCAAAATCTACAGTAAGGTGAGCAATAATGAAATCCCCATAAAGCCATAGATATTAGTGGAGGAATGTCTCAGTTACAAGTTTAGCATGCCTGAACTGCTGGGTAACAGATAAGGAGCATGTGTAGAAATGGTGTGAAGTTGAAGCTTCCTACTCAGAACACAAAATTAGCCAACACTGAAAAAAAGTCAAAATTTCTGGTAGGCTTTAGCACTTTCAGATCAAAAAGATTCATGCCTAAATTGCTTTTTGCAATTTATTCTGTAAAAGAGCAGCAAAGACACAGCATCCAGAACTAATGCAGGTGCTGTCCAAAATTCATTGCTGATAATAGGACAAATTCCCCCTAAATAACAGTCTTGTGGTACATCTCTCGTTTTCCACTACTTTTTATCTCCATCTTTTTTCTTTTCCCTTTGAGAATGATGGGGACCCTTGTTGTGTCATTTTTGAAGATGCAGAATTCTGCATGTCTGGAAGATTCAGTCACTTCCTGGCTTATAAGGATGTTGCAGAATCCAGTTGGCCTGAGGAAGGGGCTGTTTGTGGCCGTGCCACTGAGAGCGCCTCAGAAACCTGGGAGTAAGGTGAGCTCCCACATGGTCACTGTGCAGGAGCTAAGGACAGGTGGCAGCCTACTGCAGCTTGGGGTTTGAGCACCCCACACCCAAAAACAGGCTCTCCTGCTGTGCTTTGCTCAGTGACAGGACACTGGAGGGTTTTCAGCCACATTTCATACAGTAATTCCAGCAGGAATCACTAGCAATGTCTTTCAGAAAGCACGAGCTGTGTCTCTAGACTCCAGCATCCACAGCAAGCAGCTCCCAGCAGCAGCAGTTGTATTTGGCAGCAGAAATCTGTCGCCAACCTCAACCATTTCCTCATGGCACTTTGGAAGAAACAGCTTAGCACCTCCTTTGGTTTTCCAATTAAATAGTCAAAATCAGATACCAAAGATGAAAAAGTACCTGCACTGTCATACCTGCACTGTTGAACCACCGTCACTGCCCCCTCTCCCAGCAGAAGTCAGAAAGCAGGGGTTGCAGAGGGGAAATAAGGCTGTTTCAAAGAGGAGAAATGGCAATTTAAGACTGCAGAAGTACTTGAAGGCTTAAGGAGGTTTTTATGTTGCTTAACGCCTGGTGGCTGTGACTGATCGTCTCCATCCACCTATAGCTTAGGCTGTCATTTCACACATAATTTGCTCCTCACTCTCCCTTCATATCATTTTCTGTTTGCCCCTGACAACCTGAAGGAGAGGATTGAGGAACTGATCTAGGTTAAAATGAAAGTTTTTTGTTTTTTTTTTTTACTCTTGCAGGGTTCATTTTAACCCAGTTCTGGTGGCTGCTCTGTTTTGTCACTGTCACACAGACACTTGAGGCAGCAAAGGGAGGGCTGAGCTGGGAGAGGCAAGGCTGCCATCAGCTGCGACTGACTCAAAAGCAGTTGTGAAGTCAGCAGCCGTAGAGTCAAAGCACAGGTGATAAAATGAAAGCTGTTTCTCTGCAGTCTGTGCAGGCTCACAATCACATCAGTTCATTGGGAGCTATTTTGGCTGGGATGGGCTTGGGCTGAGCCTTCGGGGCAATAGAAAATGGTCTGAAAGTGGAAGGATCAAAGCAGCAATTGTCCATTGACATTGATGTGGCATGTTGTACAGGTCCTTGGTAAGGAGGTGTTCTGCAGAAAAGAGGGCTTCCTACTTGTGGGTCTGCGCTTGTTAAAAAGTTTTTTCAGCTCTGGAACTGGTAAGACAATTTGAAAATGAAAATAATATGCCTAGTCGTGCTGACCCCACCTGATTCCTACTGCAGCAACAGAAGCACCTCTGGGACATTCTCATGTTTTGCCAACAAATGAAAAAATAAAAAAAGGAACTGAAGGTTGGAAAAGGAAACTGCACGGAGTAACATAACGTTGATGTTAACCCTGTGTTAGACACTGCAATGAGTTACTTGGTTTTATATACAATTTAAGAGATAAAATTAGTTGTAATAGATCTATGTCCTAGGGAGGACTCTGCTTTCCCAGAGGGAATTCAAGTCCACGCTTCACAGAGACCTAAACCTGCAGAAGAACTGGGCAGCCACGTGCATGGCCTGGAGGTTTGCTTACACTCTGAACAGATGGATCTTCAGTCAAGGATGGCAAACGAGTGGCAGCAAACAGAGGAGGAGGGTCTGTCTTGGAGGTCACTGTGTGTGACCTGAGACCTTTGTGAACCTGACCTGAGACCACCCTCAGGACAGAGGCATCCCCATGTCCCCACCACACCCAGCCAAGCTTGGCATGGCTTATGCATAGCCTGGAGCCCTCCTCCCACCACAGCATCTCCTGACACATCCAGAGCAAACTGTTTACAGGGAAAGGAAGAATGAGATATAAACCATAAAAATCATCTGCTGCTAGGATTTGGGAAGTTCCCTGGGACCAGCCCCTGGGGAGCAATCTTTCGTGCTTGCATCCATGCATGGTATCCTGCGGGCTTGTGTACACAGAGTTTTTCTGACAGTAAGTGTTACATAATGTATGGTCTGTGTTATATTACTGTTGTTTTATGAGATACATAGCAGCTGATTACCTGTTTTCTGTTAAACATATAAATAAAATGTAAATGCAGGATGTAAATGTTGGACGCCAGGTGAGATGCAGCTCTGAGGTGCCTTTGCTTCTGCCCTTTCACAACCCCAAGCAAGCCCTATGTTCTTCATTCTGCTGGGAACATAGGGCAGTGTCCTATGGAAGGGAGCACTCCTGGGCTCATGGTGCTCATGGACATGAGTTACACCAAACCTGTGTCCCCTTCCTGCTCCTGTGCACACAGCTGCAGGCGGTTCCTGCTTGTGGTGCGTGCTGTCCATCAGCTCTCATGTGGCCCCCAGGGGCAACGCTTCCCCCTCACTCAGCCAGAAGCACTGAGATTCTTGAGCTAAAAAAGTGTTTCAGACACATTCCGAATTTCTGTTTATGCGACTTAGTGATCGCTGTCACTGAAACCATCTTTCTTTGGACTATGAGATGTTTGTAGGCAGCAACATGGAATAGGATTAAGCATCTGAAAACCCCAGAAAGAAGAAGAGCTTCCTTTTAAAGAAGGATCAGTAAGAACCCTCAAATGAAGCACTCATCTGTTGGGCATCAGCATGATACTGCACTCACTGCATTGGGAAATGAGGGTGCTTTGCTGGTGGAGAAGGAAGCTAAGGCCACATGATGCAGAAACAAGCTAAGAGTTCAGCTGTGCTATGTAACAGAAATCAGAGCTAAAGAGATTCAGAGTCTCTAAAGACAACCTCATAAGTTCAGCATAATTCAGAAAAAGAAGCATTTAGAAAAAAATAGCTATCTAACTGATCTGAACCAGAGCATTTCTCTCCGAAGAAATAAATAATGCTGCTGCTAATATTCATTTCCTCTCTGGTAACACTTTGCAGAGCAGCACTCACAATGCATTTTTATAGCAGAACTGACACCTGGGCCTCGGGAAGACTCAAACCAGGTGACAAAAGATAGAGCATAGCCTATGGTCACGCTCCTCTGGGATGCTGGGAGGACGGAGCCAACATTTTAGTTATCCAGTTAATATGTAGTTATGAACTGGTTATGCAGAGACCATCAGATGGACTCAAGTGCCACATGACTGTGGCTGTCTGCAGAAACCGAGAGAACCAGATTAAAATGTGTGAAATGAAGCAGACCACAGCATGGGCAGTTCACCTCTTGAGCCCTTTGCTGAAGGATGTTGGAGATAAAACCTCATTGTGGCCCTCCAGTATTTGAAGGGAGCATATAAACAGGAGGGGGGCAGCTTTTTACAAGGGTGGATAATGATGGGATGAAGGGGAATGGCTTTAAACTGAGACAAGGGAGGTTTAGGTGTTAGATATTAGGAGGAAGTTTTTCACACAGAAGGTGGTGACGCACTGGAACAGGCTGCCCAAGGAGGTTGTGGATGCCCCATCCCTGGAGGCATTCAAGGCCAGGCTGGATGTGGCTCTGGGCAGCCTGGTCTGCTGGTTGGCGACCCTGCACACAGCAGGGGGTTGAAACTGGATGATCACTGTGGTCCTTTTCAACCCAGGCCATTGTAAGATTCTATGATTCCCTCACAGTAACTGCAGGAAACAAGATACTGGGTTGGATGTACCAAAAGACGTCTACATGAATTCATGCACTGTCTGCTTTGCACTCCTTGTGAACTATGGAGAACTTCAGGCAGATTTCTTAGGCCTCTGAAGCTTAGAAGAAAGCATAAAAGAAAGCTTTTCCTCTTTTCTACATGGCTTCTGTACTTGCCTTGGTGGTTATACGGATTGTGTAGCCTGGCTTGCTTGAAAGATGTAAGAGATGTTTTGTTTCTAAAATAGTTAGCGTTAATACACACAGATGGTGTGAGAAAGGGAGAGGAATGGCGCTTCTGCTTTCTCGTATGAAGGAAAGCTGCTCTCAAAATATTTCACATTTTCTCCCTTCATGCAGTTGTTCAAAAAAAAAAAAACACCGACAATTTCGTGCTTTTTACTGTCTGTAAGACTGTAAGACAAACCCTTCCCGAAAAAATCTCTTCTAGAAGCTCTTAAAAAATTCATTCAGAAAACAAATCTCGCAGATCTGTCTCCTAGAGAGATGTGAGAGAAATGGGAAGATGTGTGGTTCATAAGAAATGGCAACGGCTGAGCAGCATTGGAAGCAGCCCCAGCCTGTGGAGCCGGGCTGTGCCGTGCTGCTCCTCCTGCATCTCGGCAGGCGCTGATCTGCACCCAGCCCTGTGGCAGCCCCTGCTCTGCCCCACCAGCCAGGGCACGTTTGGATGGCTTTAGAAAATGTAACCCTAGACTAGAAAGCAATGAGTGCTGTTGGTGTAGGTGCTCAGATTCCTCTCTTCGTCCCAGATTGCCTGGGAAGGCCAGCATAAGAAGATGTAGGTGCATCACATTAGTTTCATTAAAATGAGGGAAATGTGAGGCTCTTACTGCCATTTACCATCTTCCTTTTGCAGGCTTTCTGTTACTTTGGGGTGCTGCAACATTTGAGGGCTCCTAGAAGCCTGCTCTTGTGGGCAGTGGTGAAAAATTGAGTTGCTCCATCTCCACAGACCTTTGGAGGAGGTTTTCTGAGGCTCACTGTATGTGGCTCAGCAATGGTGAAGTAAGAATTGGGGTTTGCAGCAGAGGCGTAGCTGAGCAAACTGGTATGGGAACAGCTGCTTTTGTTGAGAGTCTGTTCTTGGGATGAACATCTGTCCCACAGCTTCTTCCTCCTGTCCTTCGGGTACGAAAGTCATATCCAAGTGCTGATATGAGCAGCAGCATCCTCCCTTCCCTTCTCACGGCATCTCACCCACATCTACACGAATTCACCTTAAGCCCATGCTGCACTTGGGCTCCAGTCCAGAGTGCCCCAGCTCCAACTGGAAAACTCTGTGGTGGAAAAAAGAGAAGAATAAAATTCAAATTCAGGACCCCTTGTCCCTTTTGCAGCTGCAATACAGAGAGGACCCAGACATCTCACACCGCAGCTGACCCGGAGCTAACAAAGGCTGTCCCCGAGGGGTCTGTCAGCAGCCCCTGGGCAGCTCGCAGGGGAGAGCAGCGCTCTTTTTAGCCCGGATGGCTCAGCACAAAGCAGCCTTTATGGCTCGGCAGCAGGCAGCTCGCCCCTCTTCTCATCAGCCTTCTCTTGGTTTGAAACGCAAGAGGACAAAAGCAGCCCCCGGGTTCTGCTGATTCCTTGCACACACACGCCTGTAATGCCATTCCTGGCAGTAAGAAATGGAAAAGATAGATCGCTTTGGAATCACGGGGCCACACGCACCATGCCTTTCAGAGCCAGCGTGAGCCCACCATCCTTTGAGTTATTCTGCGTTGGTAGTAGGGGATAATGAATAATGCTGAGCAGCAGCAGAAAGTTCACAGCAAGCAGCTGCACACCATGAAAAACAACGGCAAGATCCTCCGTGCCAAAGGGTATCGCGGCAACCAGGAGCTCGGCCATACTTTAAAGGGATTAGGAGTGCATAGATGACACAAAGAATTTTAATGACAAAAGACTAAATAGATGCAAGTTTGCAAGCAATGGGAGCTCTCTGCTTTAGAGCAAAGTTAACCAGTTACAAGGGAACAGCGGGAAGAACTCTCATCCTGCCCCGCCAGCTGCTGAGCGCATGCAGCATCCCTGAACTTCCCTGTACCCATCAGCCCTTCCAGGACCTGAGAGCATGCAGAGGCAGAATCGCCATCCATGCCATATGTGCTCATTCCATACAACTGAATGGTCAGTTTGGACTGTTCAGAAACCAATACTCATTTTTTAAATTATTTTTTAACCTTTTTTTTTTTTTTTTTTTTGGTAATGTATCATTTGGATCACATGCTCCAAATTGATTCACATCTTTCATGTTATTTCCAAGACTCACTTTGTCGGTGGATAACACAGTTAGGTGTTACTTAAATCTCCCACACACCTCTAAGAGAGCTGAATGCCTGCCCACAAGTGGAAACCCAAACTGCTTCTCCACCTGGATTCAAACAAAAGTCTCCTCCTTGGCCGGGTCAGAAGATCCGGGCACTGATGGCAGCATCTGTTGTTACTTTTGTTACAGATTTTTATTACAGGTTTCTGCCCCTGCAGGCAGTTTAACAGTGAATCCCTTGGTACTATTTCAGCACTGAGAACAGTGTCCTACCCATATTTTGGTTACATGGTGCTCCTGTGCCTGTTGGATGAAGGCTGACCCCATGGAGGCAGCTGCAATGTCTGCAGTGTTTCCAGCCCCCGTAGTCAGCCAGGTGTACGATGTGCCTGGCTATTATAAAAGATCCATCAGAAGACATGGGGTTGAGCTGACATCTCTGATCACCTTGGGGATTTCATAGCACTGTACATGCCAGGCTGTGTTTTGCTGTGCAGGTCTGCTTTCCTCTGTTGCTGACATCTGCAACTGAGCACTCACAGCTGAGATTTAAGATTTGGACACGTACTACTCAAACCATATTAAGTACCTTGCTGGAGCCCAGGAGCTGTGCTCAGTAGGCAGCAGTGCAAGATCCTGCTTAGATGCTCGGGCAGAAATTAAGTGGGATTTCCATTAGAATTGAACTTATTTTTAGTGACGTAAAAAACCTCATTCATTCTCTGAGCTGTTCTCTCCCTCAACTCAGTCAGCATAGAATTCCCCACAGTGTGGTGAGTCCCAGAACCTCAGAAGGCAGCACCTCATCTGTACAGAAATGGTTATGATATCATCTGGGTTTTGAGCCCTGAGCTGACACAGTGTCCATGTCAGGCTTCTGAGCTGAGTCACTGGGGCACAGCAAAAACTCATCTGGAATGCAGCCCGAAGTCCTGACCTTGGAGGACAACACACACACAGCTACTTGTGGCACCTGCCATAGGAGCTGACTTAAACCTGCAGCTGACAGTTGTTTTCACCCCTGTAAAGATAAGCTGGAAGCACTGTAGAGCAGTATTCAGTATAAATCAGTTCATCGAAATGCAGCCAGCTTGTGTCAGTGGTGAAATAAAACGGGAAAGAATAAACCATCCATCCCAATTATTTTATCTCCATTTCTGCAGTGCTGAAATAATTCAGATGAGATCGGGTCTCTACAGCAAACAGTGCTTGTGGC